TAGTTTAAGCACCCTTATAGTTTTGTTTAAAATTAAAATGGCGCCTATGGCACTAACCTAGACTTTTATATAAAAATAATTACTTACCGTTATACTTGGACTCAATACATTTTTTTTAAAGCTAAACAGTATTGAAACATTGAGATGCATAAAATTATTTTAGATCTGTGTTCAGAGAGATATMTTTTGTTAATAATTTTATTCATTGTTGATTTGTGAGTATATAAATATAAAAAAGTGAAATGGTTTTACATAGAAAACAAAATATATTTTACGAAAGAAAAGAAACTAAAGAATTTTTAAAAGAATTTCGGTAAACTTTTAGAAATTAAAAATAAAAACAGAAATCGGAAAAAACAAAAATAGTATTCACAAAAGAAAAAACTGATGATATATTAAACAAATTTATTTTGAACTACATAAATAAAAAAATAATAACAAATACATAGGTATACTATTTAGACAGTATAATATGCATTATGYATATACCTATTATTATGTATAACATTAAATCCGAATAAATTGTTTGTGTACGTTTTATATTATATATTTATGGCCAATAATTACTACAATAATTACCACCTATATATCCAYCAAAAATTTTTTGTTTATATCATCKTATAAAAACATATCTGCAGTTATAAATCATTGTAAGAATTTAAATAGGTACATGAATAAATTCATGCACACATTAAAATGAATAGTTACAAAGTATATATAATTATAGAGCATATATAGCTAGGTAATGAAGTTTAAAAATTTGATTTTTTCGAGTAAATCCATGAAATAATCTGCGTATAGGTGCGCGTAAAATACTAAAAATCCTGAACTAAAAAAATATTATAACATTGGTACAAAGTCCAACCAACAAATTCTGATGCATCATCGCACTTAACTCATTGAAATTTATAGGTTTTCCAAAAATAATTCCCAACAATTGTCTACGATTGTTATCCCGTAATTCAATATATTAAAATAGTGATCAGTGTTTATTTTGAAGTAATATTATCTTAAATATRAACAGCTACTATAAGGGTTAGGGTTTTTAATGTTTATTACGTTTTATTATTATATAATATTAGTAAAATAAATACATATAAA